TAGGAATGATTACAAACCACCTATAGTGAACATCATCTAACATGACTGCCACTTTTATTCCCTTAGGAATGATTACAAACCACCTATAGTGAACACCATCCAACATGGCTGCCACTTTTATTCCCTTAGGAATGATTCACAGCCATTTTATTCCCTCAAGTATTAATATTGCTTAACAAACAGTATAAGCTTATAAATTAACCAGAACTTCAAATTTCGTGGGACAAAATTAAAAGTTCCACATACCATCATGTTCTTCCCACAATCCTGAAACTCTGGCAACAAAAGGTTGATCTTTTCGTCTCGTACCAGCTTTAAGAAGAACTGAGTCTCTTACATTGATGATCTCATCACCACGCTGAATGCCACTGTAGTAATGCCTTATAACTATCTTGTCATCCTGAAAAAAAAACAACAACATTAATGTCTACATGTTTACACTAGTTTTCACTAGTTTTCCACCTTAATGTCTACATGATATGAATGTCTCTTATAGAGGCTTTGCAACATCACGTGATGGCAGCAATGACATAAGGCAGTAACAATAATTTATTGAATACAGTACAGGGTCCAAAATAAGCGGTCGTCCAGTTGTCAGGGACRAATAAAATTTGCAAATGACGACTAGATTTTGGAATGTGTTTGTCCTTCTGACGACCTACGTTTTGCCAAGGTGTTTTCTTTTAAGATAAAAATAAAAGATTCCATAAAGTCTGAATATAATTCTAAATTATATTTCTTCTGTTTGCTTGTAAAACCTAGAAAATTCATTTTTCAACTGATAAACTTTCAAAAATTCGAGATAACGCATTCATCGGAAGCCATTGAATACCGCTGACAAATTTGATTGCATCTTCTGCACTATAGCTAACCGCTGACCATTGTCATTCAGGCTCTACAAAATGGTGTCCAAGTGGGACTCCTAAGTTTTGCTCTGGACGCCTACGAATTAGAACATGGTTGTCCAAAGGATCACTTAGCTCAAAAGTTAATTTCGGACCCTGCAGTATAATCTGATTTACATGAGAAAGAATTCATTTTCCCAGGAGGAAAAACTCTATTGCTGTGCCTCATGTAACTGCCATCGTGATGGTGCAAAAGCCTCAATACCAATAAATTGTACTCCAGTGGAAAACCTAATTCATTAAAATTCCGTACAGTCTGTGTAAAAGCCCAAAATTGGGGCTTGCATTTTCAGCATGGTTTAAATATAAAGTACACAGGATGTTGTGCATTCAGTACATTATGATGAATATTCAATGTGTTCCAGGCAATTAAAGAATTTATTTGTATTTTTTGAAGTTGTGCATTCTTTACTTTACTGTTGGTATTTGTGAATATTGTGATGCTCAAAAATGAGGCTATAATCCATAATAAATGAGTCTTTGATCAAGGTTGTACAAATTTCAAACTGATCCATATTCACATCTTTTGAAGTAAACTTCATGGTTTCACCAAAAATATGAGAAAGATTTTTTATTTAGCACAAGAAAACCTCTTCATATTTGAGAGTGAAAATGCATTAAGGTTTTCATATATATATACACTAAGGACTGATGTTAAAAGTTTGAAGGATTGACTAAAAAATAAATACATTTAAAATCAGTTTTTTGTCTGATTTTCTTCACTAGCTTACTCTTTTTTCTTTTCTTATTCTTATTTCAAATCTTTTCCAATATCTCACAGATAAGATCAGGATAACTTAAAATAAGTTACTTACCATATAGCAATATGGTTTATCAAGAGGTTCACCATGATATGTCCATCCATTGGTTCTCTAGAACAAAACAAAAATACTTTTAATCCTAATTGTAAAGAAAGAAACTCAGTATGCAATACAAACAAATTCAGCAATTAAAATAATAGCAATTAAAATAATAGTTGCTATGGATAAAAGACTATTTTCATGAGGCAACAGAGAAGTGAAAATATTGCAAAAAATATTTAATTTCCATGTATTTCGTGTTTTAAACAATATTGTTATAACCTTTTCATCCTTTTAAAATGCTATACTGCCACATCCAGATTCACTTACAGACATTAAACATTTATTATAATCATAACTAGGCTTCTTTTAAGCTGCAGGGAAAGGAGCTGTGGTTGCATGGTAACAGTTTAATGAATTTTTTTGGGGTGCAAATTATGAGTGACTTCAGGTGAAAAAACAATTCCTTTCCAAATTTTTAGGTATAGATGTTACAATAAAGTAAATAAAGTCTCTACTATGTTAGGATTTTTTTGAATTAATTACATTATTGCATCTTTGTGTTACTTATTATGAATACATACAAATGTATCTGTAAGTAGTCTGAATTTTTGAAAAATTTTGTAGTAAAATAAAAGTAGTGAGAGAAGAAAAGAAAAGTGAGGATTTTAGGAAGCACCTTCACAATTTTAGCTTGTGATTCACATTTAATATATTTCAAAACAAAAAAAAATTTGACAGTCTCAAAGCCTTAGAACTCTAGTTTTCCACTCTTTCAAGAGTCATAACTTCCTAGGACAAATACAAATCATTAAAAAACTATTCTGAAAGTGCTATGTTACTGTTTCAAGATAGAGGAAATTTCTCATCATTCTGAATGGAATATTTAGAACGACTGAAGAAAATATGGCAAATGACTTAGTTGAGGAATGGATTCTATATTACTGTGAACCACAAATTTTAATGTTTAAAATAAACAGGTTACATATATTTATAAAATTTTATTGTTGTTGGCTCAATTATTTAAATAAATTATATATGAACTTTTACAATACACACCTTTTGTTTCCATGGATCTTTTGCTCGTTCAGCTTGCAATTTTTCAAGCTGCATATTTAAGCTTTTCAAGTAAATATTCTTGACCGGGTTACCAGTTGGTCTGTGACGTCCTAGGCTAAAATTCGAAGTAGAGGTGGCTGCGAAGTTGATTTTTGGGATGCGAAGCGGAGGAACATTGACTAAGTTCTGAGAGTTTTTGGTGGCAATGTTTTCTTTGCTGGATTTGCTGTTCTTGGCATGAGGTATCAAAAGATTACTAGCATTTTTCATTTTATGCAGGGGCCCATCTTTGGCCATCATGGCATTCAGCATTGCTTGGGCATTCAAGCTTGCTGTGCGCTTTGTGGATGCCTTCTTGCTGATTGTATGCTCAACTGGTGGCCGTGGAGGAGCCCCTGGAGCTATCAAATGACTTTTTGTGAATGGAATAGAACCAGACTGGGTATAAATCTGGCCTTTTATGGGAACAGAGAGCACTCGGATATGCTTTAACTGTGGTGGTCGAGGTAAATCAACTTGTATACAAGCATCTACCATAGTTTTAATATTAGCATCAGTGGTGGTATCACATTCCATTTCTAGCTGCTGTTCTCTCTCATAAAGCATGTTATTGATGTCAAATTTTTTGCGTCCTCTTTTTACTGTTCCCTCAGAAGTCGAATCTGCAGCCTCCAATTTACGTTTCTGTCCTATTTTTGGGCCTTCAGGCCTTCCATTTTCAACCAAAATCTCTTTACCCTTTGAAATATATTGAATATTTTCTTGTTTTTCTATGGTGGCTAGTGATTCAAAGGTTAAATAGCCATCAGATGTTGATGAAATTTCCTGTAAAACACATTCATCATTTTCAAACAAATTATCATCGTATGAAGTACTCCCATTCCTTAATCCACCATCATAGTCTTTGTCTGAAGAACCCTTTGACATTCTACGAGATTGATGATGAGTATCGCTGCGCCCTGCTATCGGGCTTGCAGGTTCAAAAAACAAGTTAACTTTTGCTGCTGCATTGAGACTTGCCATTCTTGGGGTCCTTCGTCTTGCTAAGGATCCAATATCAACATCCACACTTGGTTTGTCTACGAAGCCAGGAGTTGGAGCAAGTCTATCGAGCAATGAACTGGACATCCTTGCTCTTCCTCTACGTTTCGGCAATTTGCCGTCACAACCATCCACCTCAAAGTTTGGGTCATCAACCTTTGAGCTTCTAGGCTTTCTTTTTGCTACTTCCATCTTTTCTTTTGGGTGAAAGTTTACAAATGACTGTCCAGAGAGCTTGTTTAGATCAAATTACCAAGTTTACCAATATGCAACTTTCTTCACTTGGATGACTCGCATGACTATTACACTTTCATCTTGTAAAAAATTCTGATTGGAAGAATTTTTTTCTTCAGGAAATGAAACAGTTTTGAAGGAATTTATTATATCCACATAAATAGGCACTGGAGAAAAAAATAGAGAAAAAATGTGAAATTTTATATAAGTATTGAATAAAATACATTATATTAGGGTTACAAATGCAAAATTGCATGTCTGGGCGAAGAGGGGAAAAGAGGGGTGGAGTAGGGGTGCAGCAAATATTTGGAGAACTGAAGAATACTAAATAAGGAGTCTCACAGTATTAATTATCATGGTCTTGTTATTAAATTGTGTCACATATTAACTAAAAATATACCAAAATATCGCACTATAATCCACTGCAAATCTTTGTACTTCACTAAGCTAAGATAATAGTAATGTGGAATTCCAGATATTTGCAAACAAACGACGAGATAATTAAGACGGGCTGAAACGCTTAGAGGAAGAGAACGAGACCAAAACAAGGTAATATTAAACAGATGCTTGAACGAATAACTTAAACGAATTAACTACAAGAACCGTCCTGTCCCGTTCCACCGAAAAAAGGCGCGACAATTACGTCAATTCTGAGGAAATACGAAATAGCGCTCGACTTGGTCGACTTTCTAGTTTTCAGCATTTCCTTCACACCTGCTACTCTTGAAAATACACGGCGAAGGTCTTGCTACGGATTCTCGTCTGATTTTGAAGCTATTTATCGATAATCTCAAGGCGTATTTCGCTGCAGACAAGCCTGTCTTTGAAGTTGGAAAACTGTACCCTTCAACACTAGCGGTTCCCACTTAATCGGGATCAGGGTGTTGGAACGCCACTCACAACACCATAAGAAAATCGCCCACAAGCTAAATCAAAGGACAAGACATAACCACTCCTCCTTACATCAGAAGATAAAAAATCAGGCTTCCTTCGAGGGATCAAAAGGCAAAGAAAATCAGGTTTAGATTTCGGCCGATGGCGCCATGTACACGCTGAATACATTACGCCAGATCGACCTCGGACAAACAGACTCAGTCCAACTCCCAGCGTGTCCGCTCCGATCGACCTCACTAACACAAAAAAACCCTTACCTGCCAATATTAATATGCCCTAGCGAAAAAAACCGGGAAATTCGTCTCTTTTTGTTGAGATATTTTGCGTAGAAACCCCTTTTCAACAAGCTGTTTTGGCCTACGAAACCCACTGCACCCAGAAGCCTTTGCGGTATAGACGCTCAGAACGAGGCTGTAAGTGCTGAGTAATTATTTTATCACACGTCAAAGGATCCGGACTGGAACTAAAAATAACTCTCATATAAACCCTGCCACCTATCACATGCTTAATCTCTCTATAAAGTTATAAAATGTAATGCTCAATTGTTAAGAAATAAACATATTTTGTAAATATATGAGTTTTAAGACCTTTTTGTTGCTTGGAAGGTATATAGGAGTTGCCGACTGGCCTGTTGGTACGAAGTCTGACCCGCGTCTGTGACTTGCTTGAGAAACCTTTCTTAAAGTCCCAGCCAAAGTACTAGTGATACTGATATAGTAAGAAGTCAAGTACGAAACAGTAAAAGTACTCAATGTCTCATCATGATAAGCTGTAACGAAGATTAATGATCTAGCTTGATTTAGCAATTTAGATAGTGTCCTTTTGAAAACCAACACGATACTTCCGTGTTCCCGAAAGCAAAATGATTCACATCATTTGAATACCTGTAACGATCGGTGAATTCTTCGCTAAATTTCTTGAATTAGAAACTTTGTTTTCCTTTATAAAAAAGGGAATTCAATGAAAAGGAAGTTTAAAGCTATTTATTTTGCGTGGGACAGTCCGTTACATCATGTACGCTTTCAAATTCCACTGAAAGTGAACTTTGTCGCTGATGCATGATATATTCACTAGAACAAAGAGTTTTCCCTTTTGATATTCCAAGAATTCTACGAAAGGTGTAGTTTATCTTTAGATTTTTTGATTAAAAAAATCCCCCATCAAATAAGAATTTGCTAGCGTTTAAGAGGTAGCTAAGAAACATTTCACATCGGTTGGACATMGGACTATAAACGGGTAAGTCAATCGTGTGAGGATGTCACTAGCTCAAGCGTACGTACAGGAACCAAATAAGGAAGTGCCTCCGTCTCAACACCGTATCATCATTTTGAATAGAGCTAGACCTAAAATGGAGTTATGTGGCCGATAAATATTTAGGTTTTACCTCGCTCTTATATTTTTTGCAAACGAAACTAATGAAGTGATTAATGGCTGAGCTGTGGTCCAGTCAACTTCTGCGCCAATGCCTACGGTCTAATCCTGTGAGACTGCAAAGAAAACTAAAGAAAACTCAAGTGTATTTCTTTTTTGAAATGCTTTCAGTAAAAGCTTTTTTCTTTAATCAAAATTAAATTAAATTAATTCAGCTTCGACTTAGCATTCCTCTCACTGGAGTCAAACGGGGAAGTGAAGCCTGACCTTACGGAGAGCAGAATTCTGAATATTTCACTTTCGCTCATCGGATATTTTAATATCAAATGTCCGATACAGCGCATCGAAACTCATCAATATCTAAATCCTCTTTGAAGTCTAGCTAAGCTCAAAATCACCTGCTTCGCGTATCTCGGGACACTAGAACATAATGATTCTATTTATGATCGTAAGCGCAGTGCCGACCAGCTGTCCAGTATAACTTCTGATTTGCGTCATTGAATTTAAACAAACGTACTGTCTTAGCTTCTTGTCACTGTAGATCTAGCCACGCTGACGTCCAAGACATATAAAATAGTCAGAGTATTAACAGGAATACAAATTTATCTTCAGGACACCCGGTATTCCGAGAGACGCGTGTACGATTCCAGCGATATATTTTACGACGACTAATTGGTATAGTGCTATAGTAGCTCAGTTAACAGTGAACACGCGCTACTGCCTAAAACATATTGTATCGTCGAGGGTAAGGACAAAGTTTTCCGATGATAAACTGTTTTAAACATGAAAAACGAAAAAACGAAGACTGCTTAGCTAGTGCTTCACTTTTCCTAAGTGGAATGCATGGATGCATTTTTATGGTACGATCGAATCTTTGCAAGTATACCTTTGAATTAAACTCAGCGAAGTCATCTTATATAATCTGCATTTGGTCCCCTTGGAGTTTAATATCAACATAATTCAACTCAATAGACTTACGAAGCGCTTGCCGTGCCTCTGTTAATTCATGCTACCTTGACGGCTATTCAACCCTTATGGTTTAGTGGACGGCAATCCTCACACCCGTCGCGTTCATTTCCTTTATAGCTCTTTCTACACTAGACATGGCGAATCAATAAGAACCATATGCTTTGTCATCTGAAAGGCTTATAACTGCTACGGATCAGAAGTACGTTATTTCTGCGATTGCAGTTTTTTNTTACGGAGAGCAGAATTCTGAATATTTCACTTTCGCTCATCGGATATTTTAATATCAAATGTCCGATACAGCGCATCGAAACTCATCAATATCTAAATCCTCTTTGAAGTCTAGCTAAGCTCAAAATCACCTGCTTCGCGTATCTCGGGACACTAGAACATAATGATTCTATTTATGATCGTAAGCGCAGTGCCGACCAGCTGTCCAGTATAACTTCTGATTTGCGTCATTGAATTTAAACAAACGTACTGTCTTAGCTTCTTGTCACTGTAGATCTAGCCACGCTGACGTCCAAGACATATAAAATAGTCAGAGTATTAACAGGAATACGAATTTATCTTCAGGACACCCGGTATTCCGAGAGACGCGTGTACGATTCCAGGGAAATATTTTACGACGACTAATTGGTATAGTGCTATAGTAGCTCAGTTAACAGTGAACACGCGCTACTACCTAAAACATATTGTATCGTCGAGGGTAAGGACAAAGTTYTCCGATGATAAACTGTTTTAAACATGAAAAAACGAAAAAACGAAGACTGCTTAGCTAGTGTTTCACTTTTCCTAAGTGGAATGCATGGATGCATTTTTATGGTATGATCGAATCTTTGCAAGTATACCTTTGAATCAAACTCAGCGAAGTCATCTTACATAATATGCATTTGGTCCCCTTGGAGTTTAATATCAACATAATTCAACTCAATAGACTTACGAAGCGCTTGCCGTGCCTCTGTTAATTCATGCTACTTTGACGGCTATTCAACCCTTATGGTTTAGTGGACGGCAATCCTCACACCCGTCGCGTTCATTTCCTTTATAGCTCTTTCTACACTAGACATGGCGAATCAATAAGAACCATATGCTTTGTCATCTGAAAGGCTTATAACTGCTACGGATCAGAAGTACGTTATTTCTGCGATTGCAGTTTTTTCCCCAACGATTGCCGACGTAAAGATTATGATTTTAACAATCAGAGAGAAAGACGAGACTTGTGAATCGATTTAATGCGAATTTTTTTCCTCAATGCCTATATGATTTTGTGTTCAGCGAAGTGAATGCATCATTTTCAACTTTGATTGCTGTGATTTTATTTGTTGCAATAATTCTTACAACTTTTGTCCCATGCAAAGGCCGCAATATCAACCATAACCACYAACGTACGTAGATTATAGTTCTATGCATTTAATTTGCACAGGTAATTCAGAAAGTCTGCTATAAAATTGTAAAGTAAGCGGTATTGCGTAAGTACGGGTACTTGTGCATTATATTACTTACTTTACAGCAAGGTTTCTGAATTACCCGTGCAAACTAAATACATAGAACTAATGTACGCGGTGACGGCTTTATAAAAGATTCAACGTAGATTAACGTAAATGGAAAGAACCATGTATGCCCATATTCATGGTAAAAGAATGATTTAAATAACCAACAATGAGGAACTCAAAACTGTTACGTCAGTAGACGGGTAGGAGGTGCGTTGATCTGAAGTTGGGCCCACTCCGTCAGTTTTCGCGTTCCTGACAACTTCATGCATGGAAATTGGGGAGAAGGTTTGGGCATAGTGAGGTGTCAGAGTGTGGTGTTAAAAAATGCAGACACAGAGAGAGCTATGAAGCTATTAATTTCACTTAGTATACTACTAGGATATACCAGTAGAAAAAGAAGGCGTGTTATATACCATCAGAATCAATGACTAATATACTGAACTTGTACCACATATCGATCCGTTAGCCCAGTCGACCCGCGTCCCTCTAAAACACCAGTCGGTGCTACGATTGAAACTAAGATTTGGCGGATGGATTAACGAAGTCACTAATAGTTTTCAAAATTGTTATATTTGACTATACTGAATAATAAAATTAAGTGATTAAAATAGATTTGCATGTGTTTGTATGTCATGTCGTTGCTAGACTGAGCTCTGATCTGAAAATGGAGCTAAAGTATTGCATGGGTCATGTAAGTTCAAGACGGCGCGTCACACGGACACACGGCATAATGATGTTGCACCTGTCTTCAGAATCACGGCGGGTAGGGTATATAGAGGTGAGAGCGTTCGCCTCTCCCTAGTGCTACCCGAGCTCGATTCCCGGACTCGGTGTCGTGTGTGTGGGTAGAGTTGCCTGATGATTCTCTCCTGTGCTTCGAGGGTTTTTCTCCGGTAAAGTTCCTCCCTCTGTAAAAATAAAATTAACTTCTAATTTCCAATTCAATCATGGAACGAGAGCCACACTTTTGTAAAAAAAAAAAAAAGAAGAACGATTTATTTATTTTATTTTATTTATTTACCTGTCTTTGATACGTTGCAGTTATAATTGAATTTACTCAGCGTTCATTCGGTACAAAAGCTCCATTTAATACATACCACTAGTCGTAATGGGTATTCATTTGTTTTACCAGGGAATTCAGTTACAAATAGCACGTGCACGTGCATATCCTTGTGAACAGCCAATCTGCGCTTCATACCCCAATTGAATTTTTTTTAATGGTGGGCGATTCCTAGCTATTCCTGTGACACTTATTTTGTGGTCATCGAATAAACTTCGAAGTGCACGATCACTTAACTGCTCAAGTGCAACGTTCTAAAGATAGCGCGACGCAACCAATCATCTACCAGAAGGCTTTTTTTGGCTTTTGTTTGATAAATCTCAACCACTTTCATAGGAGAAAGCTCCTTGTAACCATTTGTGCATGTGGTACAATATTTTTCCTGGACTCAAATGTCGGAGCCTCGTGTACGACATATACAACCACACACACAGTAATAGACCTTCGCAAAGTCCGCAGCACCCTTTGTCAGTGAATCTTAACTCGCGACTTCGTCACTCACTCGCTACGCTCGAATAAAACAGTCGCCTCGGTCGGTAAACAAGAGAGGTCGACTTGGGGCAAATCTACTCACTCTACTAGGTGGCTATACTGATACAGCATTTGATCGCCCATGCGACTAATAAAAGTCTAGAACCACACTGGTACCATAGAGCCGGGAAATCGTGGGAGGAAAAGAAGGATAGAAACTAAAGAAGGCATTAATCTACAACATTCGGGTATTGCTTTTTTAACGGGGCTAAACTAGGATGAAATTGATTGCTAGATAGCATACGAAAAGTACAAATCACTGCGATAATGTTTGGTGCATTCCAGTTTTCTCTGCAACTTTTTTCGCAACAGCGTTGCGACACGAGTTTCATGCAAGAGTGTCTACACGGTGCAACCGCGGAGACACAATCGTTGCCAAAAGTAGAAACGAATCCTACTTTTCGCAACGATTGCTGCAACTTGTCTCGCAACATTTTTCAAATTACGCTGCAGGTTACACGCCGCAATGCTCCATGCAAATTGTGTCGCGCCTTTAGTGATAGTTTAGATTTGTGGTGATCATGGAATCGAAAAGGATAGTATAGTAAGCCGGCTACTAAAGAGTGAGAGTGCAGGAAAAGGAGGGAAGAAAAGAAAGAAGGAARAAAGGGAGAAAGAAGGAAGCTAACGACGGAACTAATAGACGGACGAACGAACGAAAAACGAAACTGAAACAAAGCACAAAAATAAATAAACAAGCCAGAGAATAAGGAAACCGAAAGAAAAATTATAATAGGAAGAAAATGGGCTTCAAAACGAAAACGGGATTAACAGACAATGTGGCAACGCTGATCAGTCTTTGGAAAAAAACCTGTAGGCCTTCGATTCAGTCTCTTTCTAAAAGTGATTCCAAAATGAAATATCCCAGTTGCTTCACGAATTGATTAGCATTTTCTCGATATAAATTTACAATTCATGATCATGGGGAGACCGACCTCATACATGATACTTCATTCAATTTGACCGAAATCCAATAAATATAATCACCAAAATGAAAAATTGGTATTATTAGTGCGTCAGCGTTGCATCTAAGTAGGCTACACCTTGTGGACCACGGAGAAGCGTCTTTACAGTCCTTATTTTTTGAAGTTAGCTAGTCCTATATTCATCATTGAATACCCAAACCTTCAACTCCAATACTAGTAAGATAAACAGCCATACTATTAACCATGTTAACTGTCTAGGTTCTGCTTAGCCTTAATTGAACTTTCAAGTATAAATCATAATTGAACTCAGTCCATAACCAAAGAAAACCTCGAAGAGTATATCTTGTAATAAATTTTACTTTAAAAATTTCAGGTAAAATTTTAGTAACGTGTTGAATTGTAGATTAGGAATAAATGTCTCTAAATTCTGGCTTATCTTCATCGGTATCTGATTTGTGGCCATATTGTTCCGCTATTCAAACGTACGGCAGTACGACGAATCAGTTCATAGCCGGGTAGTGTAGTATGTAAATCAATCTACCATAGGTGATTTAGTAAATGATGGATGGCGGCCCTATCAAGCAGCTAAAATCCCCAAGGTATCTCTTATATATTGAGATTTAGAATATCTGAATACTGTATATCTTACCCTATATATTCCCCTGTGTTGTCGAGTGGTTCTTTCCGTCAATTCTCTTATATTTTAGTCACCATTGCCTCAATTGAACACACCGTACCCGCCGCCATTATTCACTAGATTTACTGGTAACGTATAAAGATGACGTTGCTATTCTGACGTCACGTTACGTACGCGTTAAACYGTTCAACCCGTCGATTATTCTAGAACTCTAACGACCCGGTATTTCACAGTGATGTTGGCTCTAGCGATAGGACTGACCATCACCATACGACGAGCGAGTGATATCAAATTAAGCATTTTTTAATATTTATCAAAATAATAGCTTTTTAATAACTGTTTCTATCAATTTTCTTTTTCCYAAAAGTTTTATTCTTTTTGAAAATATTTCTCGATTTCTGACTGAGTATTGTAAATATAAAAGCGGTCAGTTAACATCATGAAAATAACTGTTAAACCCCATCCATACCCTATAAGTTAACGGATACTGAGCTAGCTACTCGTACAGACTCGCAGAGTTGTCATTACTAGTACTAGTCCGAGTGTTTTCAGTAGTGAGCCTTAGAAGTAGGACTGGGTATGAGCGGGTAAGTCATAAYGAAGAACCTGTTGAGCTAAAATAACAGATTATGCTTGATTAGTTTACCATGGCATGGACACCAGCATGGTACATTGAAGAGGAAACCTTTGAGTACGGGGGTCACGAACTTGTAAATGTATAGCAAGCGTGAACAGGGGTCATAGACTACCGCCTCCCCTTACTCCCAACCTTTCCCTCTCTGAGCTAACACCAAAGCAACCCATGTAACGAACTAACTTGTTTGTAAGGGCATATGATATGTGTTTTGGAACTAAGGGAAAGCTAAAGACTAGGCAATTTACTAATAGGCTTTCCAACGCCATTGTGAGACTGGGACTGAATAAATAAGCCACGTGCGAAATATTGAAGATTCTAGCCGYACATGAAGTTAGACAAGCATAAACACAGGAAAAAAACCGGATTCCCAAATTGGGAATTGTTGGGAATTTCCTTGAATTCCCAATTCGAACGACCAACGTTGGGATTTATTGTTGGGAATTTCCTTCTAATACCCAATAGAAAAACAAAATTCCCAACAAACTAACATTGGGAATCAGTGCCACGTTCCCCATTTCGTTCTTTCAAGGCGAAACTTCAAGGAAATTCCCTACTGAAATTCCCAATTTGATAAATCCGGTTTTTCCCCTGTGAAATAGAATCAATAGTATCAAAAACAATAACACCAATAAAACCCAATATAATAGTGCCATTTCATGAAGTCTTACATGAAGTAGTAAGCGCTGAGCGGACTACTTYGACGGTACGGCGGCCATCTTGGATTGCAAGGCATTATGGGGCATTCYAGGGGGCAAATAACAGGCTTCGTTACAGTAATGACGTTGATTGATATCAACAGCTCAACACAAAGAAAGAGTACAACAAAAGATGAATTAAAACGGTACATCGATCACCTTTACCCATAGAAAAAAAGACAAACACAGGAACCCYATATACTTTCCGTCATCTTTGTTTTGTTTTGCTCCCCTGTCACATATGAGATGGCCGCCGTATCGTCGAAGTAGTCAATTGCACCGCGTAGTTAGTCAATATTGCAAATTTGCAATATTGCAAAGAAGAGAAAAAAACGAAGAAGAAAATAGGAAAGAAAATAGGAAAAGAGAAGGAATGAAAAAAGAAAAGAAAAAAGCCGAAGAAAAAAGGAAAGAAAAAAGAAAAGAAGTGRAAAGAATAAGAGGCAAAAGCAAATGCAAAATAGGCTAGAGAAATAGAAAAAGCAAGGAAAGGAAAAGAAAAGAAGGGAAGGATAGGAATCTATTTATAAGAGAAACGAAAGAGAATAAAAGAAAGAAAGAAAAGTAAAGAGTTTATCGAGTTTACCTTGGTTTGCCTGTGTATTTTACCCATTTGACGAATCATGACGTGTCATACCTCTCGCCCACGATATTGTTATCCAGCGGCTATCCACTCACTACAAACATCCAAAATGGATGCCAGATCGACAGACAGACACACAGTAACTTTCGACCTCGATAACTCCTCAGTACCGAAGCATTCAGAGAAACAAAAGGAGGAAAAGGGAAGGCACACGTCTAGTGCATCTACCAGGGTTGAAAAACTGTGCAAGCTTTTTGCAGTTTTTTTGGTCGTTCTTGCTTTTGTTGTTCACCTCATTCGTGTTCTGAGCTATGGTAAGTCAAGTCAAGTCTGTTTTTTACGAATAAGCACTATTTCAGGATATGGAAGGTTATATCAAGATCGTTTTATTATCAAGTAGAAGTATGACTACATGGCTGTACTTGACTGCAAATATTTTATAAATTATTGTTTAAAACTATACTTGTTGCCTCCAGCTGTTTTATTAAATAAATTATTGTTTAAAACTATACTTGTTGCCTCCAGCTGTTTTATTAAATTTTTGATAGATTTGATCTTCTTTTTTAATAAAGAAGAGGTCTTATCCCTAGATAAATTATTTGTTTGGTGTGTATCTAGCTGTCTGGTACAGTACAGATTGGTACACGATTTTTGTTTGTACTTCCGTGCTTGAAGTTAAAACTTGAATGCTGTTAAACAAATCAATATAAATTCCAAACCTCTATGATTTAGACCCTCCCTTGGCAAAAGGACTGCTTTGGACCATGTGGCAGCCATCTTAAATCGCAAGGCATCATGGGGCATCAAGGGGGCAAATTGAGCTTTGTTACATTAACAATATTGACTGATATTGGTAGTTTTTCGATATTCTGTGTTTTTCGCTGCAGTCAGTCAAAAATAATCAGTGGGTACCTTTTATATTCTTGACTGGCTGCATTGAAAGAAAAACAAAAAACAAACTTCACAACAAGCCATTGAAATATCTGAGTTTGCAAAATATCGAAAAATGACCACAAGAGAATAGGACAAAAGATGAACAAGGATGGCATGTTGATCACCTTTACCCATGAAAAAAGACAAACACACGAAAGTATATATTTTTTCTGTTATCTTTCTTTTGTTTTGCCCCTTTGCAAGATGACACAGGAAACTTTTTCAATTTCCCAAATGGGAACTTTGGGAAATTATTGGGAAATCACAACCCAAATTTGGAAAAATCTTGGGGATTCAGAAAGGAATACAATTTTTTCCCAACCTTGGATTTTGTTGCATTTTCCCAATCATGGGAATTTATGTGAATTTCCCATAAAAGTCCCAGAAATTACCCAAACATTTACCAGAATGGGAATCATAAAAAAATTTCCTGTGTGACCACCATATCATCAAAGTAGTCCATTCTGAACTTGGATTTAAACTTCCAATCCTCAATCAAACCTTTGAATTCCATCAATAACCTCTGTGATACCTTCCTTTGGCAAAAGTCAATAACTTGAAATTCCAATTTGAACATTGATTTGTGCAGCCTGCTGATAAAGATGCAGAAATGATGGCAACACAATTGTGCAATTTATCATATAAAAAATGTTGCTCGTATTACCAATCCATGCACAACAAAGTTGCATTGTTGCTTGAATTAGGAACTCTTGACTCTTTGCAACAATAAAAATTTGTCATATGGTGAGTGCATGGTAATATGAGCAACTTTTGCTTTGCAACTTGCAATGCAACAATGTTGTGCAACGAGTTGCTTGATTTTGTTGGCTGTATTACCTTAATTCATTTATGATGTTTGGTTGTGGCATGATCTACTGTACTAGAAAAAAAGCTGTAAAAACTTGGGTCCACTGTAATTAATATTGGCCACCTGTTTAGGGTACAGGTCCAGCCTTTACCTAGTATCTGTACTATCGTAGGTGAAGATAAATAAAATACAAGATAAAATAAACAATATTAATTTTCTCTTTATCATAGGTTCAGACACTTGTACTTTAATGTTTGGGTCAGGGTGGTGGCGGGATGACATGTGGCAGCCGTATGGTTGTATGATGCATAAATATATACCAAGGTAATGTGTGTGAGATTAAAAATGACAAGCAAAATTAGTTCTCCATTTTTCTTATTAAATCTTTATACCACTTAAGGGACATTATTTTGCACTTATAGATACTGTAGTGTGACAATAACTTCTTAAACTAACCCAAAAGACCCTCCCTTTTAGTTTGGGCAGAATGTGTTCATTTTCAAAAATGGTTTTGATCTAACCCCCGGCCCAACAAAGGGGACATAGCTCATAATGAAAACAGATATGAGTGCTATTTCATTGATGAAGATTGCTTTTTTCTTAAATGTCACTTTCAGTGAAATACGAACTTGTCTACAAAACCAGCCAGTTGCATTTGTTGGAGATTCAAGAAATCGTGGATTATATTATGAATTATTGAAAACGTTAAACCCTTCTTACATGACAGAGGGACAAAAGGTATTGATAAGTATGTGTTGTATGGTATATTGGATTTTCATAAATACAAAAATGTTAAGCAAAAGTGCATTAAAAGCAATCACCTCTCAACAATGTCCCAGAATTTTTATTTTTTTAACCTGGAGAAAATTCCCATTTACTGTTAAGAAAATGTGCATGCTGGGTACCTTCCTTCATTCAAGGGTTTTTATAAGCATAAATGAAATTCAGGCAAGTTAAAACCGAGTCGTAATGGCCAGCGGCTACCCACCCTAATGATATGCAGTGGGGGTGGCGGATGGGGCGCGTTTTTGCTAAGGACTAGTGGCAGCTTTGCCAGTAGTCTTGGTAGCTTTGGCTGTGAGCGTTCAGCAAAAAAATTTTTATCCCGCCCGCCCACTCCTCAATTGGTGGGAGCAAGGTGAGTATTATTCCACTGAGTGGTCAGTGTGACAGGTACCAGGTGGTGAGCTGTGGCCCGGTCGCCATGGTTACCTCCGTGGTAGGGCGTAGTCTGATTGATGCGCACAGCTCGCACCATAATACCTAACTCCAAACTTACCTAGATGATGAGTTTTAACTCCAGGATCTCTGGTTTTCCTCCCTCCTAATTCTAGTTTGATCTGTGAGATAATGATTAGCTGTGCCCTGACTTAGACCAGCCTAGAGTTTATTTAGGAGCACTGAAGTTTTTGAACTACTGTACATTCATTATAAGTAACTCATTGATATTCTCTTTTTAATCTTTATTTAGCATAGTGATATGCAGTACAAGGAAGGAAATATTACTATTGTAAGTTATACYATCTAGCTCTTTTACTAGCTTTTATTTACTTGTATTCTTGTATTCTTTTTATTCAAGTCTTTGTTTTAAAGATTGAAGTATTCGTTTTAATAAGTCACTGAAAGATTAAAGATTTGATAATGGAGTGTTGGTGAAGTGATGGTTGAGTGTCGGCCAACACACGGCCAACAGTCGGGCAACTGTCCACCAAAAGTCAGGGGATAGTCGACCGACACCTGTCGGCTGGTCATGAAGTACACGATTACTGAATGTCTGCGTAGGAAAATATAGTCTTTGACCATATGCTTTATTTTGGGATTTTAAGATTTACCCAAAGGATTGTGTTAGATTTTTATCCTTGAACCCTCAACCTCAATTCCCTACCCTATTTTTACAGTAAATAAATTAATGACAGATAAACCCCTTTTTTCTAGAAACACAAAATAATTAAATTCTGTTCTACACAAAGGCCTGTAAATAGACTTTGGAAAACTAAGGGTTCATATTTGCCATTTTATGATTGGAATATTGTCAAAGAGAGGGAGGGAGAGATCAGTGCTTTGCTTTTCTCTGTACGCACCCCTGTATTTCATGTCTGTAATGTCACTTCTTTTTCTCAAACATTCTAGTCATATTTCTGGAAACCAGAAGTAAACAAATCAGTGGAAAAACTATTTGAAAATTGGATCAAGGTATGTTGTAGTTAATTTTAATTTCAAGGGACTAGGTACATGTAGCTACACAGTATTAGATTTGAAAATATTGGAGACTGATATGTAAATTTAAGACTAAAAATAAAGGGAAATTGTAATCTAAATAGTTAGAAGTTACGCCACGTCCTAAATAAATGATGGGTTCAAAAAAAGACTGGGTCAAAGAGGTATAGTTTGAAATAAACACTGAGGATGTTTTGAGGGTAGCATGGGTGGCGTTTGCGGCTAACACGTTGTCTTTTACCATTGTGAGTCCAACGGGTCGGTTCGCTGGTTCGAGCCCTGCAGTCGCCACACGTGAATTGAGTTTGTTTGATTCCAGTTTCCTCCCTCCGTAAAAATCAACATGTGACTTGAGCGTTGTGTGCATAGAATATTGAATGTAGTGGTAGTGTGTGTGAGCAAAAAGTGTCCCCAAATAGTGCGAAAGCGCTAGAATCACTCACACTTAATTAAAATATATTTATTCATTTCTTTTATTTCTAAACACAGTATTAGCTTTTAAGCTAGTAAAAAGTGGGGTGGCTCCCTCATCCATCTCTGCAATCCCTGTTTCATTTCTTTATTTCTTTRCAGTCTACCAAGGGAAGGCCACAGCTTATAATAACTGGAATGAGTGTAGTAAGTTTGGTTTTTACTTTAAACCTGTCACTTGACACTTGTTGTTTAATTTACCTTTTGAATTTTAAAGTCTTGAATTAAAAAAAAAATTACCTTAAAAAGTTGATTTCTTGTACTGTACRGTATACTCCTGGCAGTGCTGTATTTACCACAGTAGCTGGAGTTCAAGTACCTWGCTAGGATTCCTGGGAGGCAAGGGAATTCAATTTCTGTGGAAATCCTGGGAGAAATACAGGAACTGTAAACTCAAAGTTACTTATTTTAAACTATTTATTTAAATAGTGGACAATAAGAGGCCAGGGGATTGAGCAAGCTTCAACGTACAAAAGTAAGGAAAATGACCTTTTGTTATTAAATATAGAAAACTTATGTTTTGAACAAGTTTTTTTCTACTTTTTAACTTACTGTATTTGTTTTTTGTTCCCTATCAATTTTGTTTGTCTGTCTGTCTATGCTGCCTGTAAGTCTGTCTGTCTGYCTGTCTACCTGTAGGTTAGTCTGTCAGTCGGTCTGTCAGTCAGTCAGTCTTTGTCTCTGTCCTTCAGTCAGACAGTCTGTTTGTCTGTCTGCCTGTAAGTCTGTATGTTTGTGTCTGTCTGTCTGTCTGTACTTCAGTCTGTCTGTCAGTAGTCAGTTTTCCCGGAGAGGGGGAGGGGGGTACTCTTGCCCATTTAGGGTAGGGATGTGCTACCTGCCCTCTGAACCCTGACCCTGTTCCAGAGCAAGATTGCTGAAAATCATACCCTGTTCTGGTATTGCGAAAATGGATGCCCTGTTCCAGAGAGGAGAGAGCATGATTTCATATACTGTACCCTGTCCCAGAGCGAGCTCGATTTTACATACCCTGTTTCAGAGTAGAATTGCTGTCTGTCACTATGTCTCTTAATTCTGTTTTATTTTCATTTGCAAATAAAGATGATCTTCTATTTACCAGGGAATTTAACCAAGCTAAAAGACTACATAGAGGTTTTGTCCAAGATCAACTACAAACCTGAAGCAAAAATACCAGGGCCAACCCTGAAGCCACCCTTCCCAGAATCACCYGTGGTAGTATGGGTAAAGCAAGGTGAGTTGAGTAGTGCAAATAGGAAGATAGAATAAAGTCTTATTTTTAAAATAAATAAATAGACCATTAAGTTTGTGAGAAAGTTATCATAGATAGAGCTTGAGTTGAGCTATGAATCTAGGGTGGTGTACAGTAGGTCTCTCTACTCTTACCGTGGGGTCTTGGGTGACTTGGCATCAAATGTGAGTTGAGTTAGTTAAGTCTCTCCCTTGATTTAAGGGTTTTTAACAATATACTCACATATGATGCATTTCAAAAACAAGAATTTCAAAAACAAGAATTTCAAAAACAAGAATTGAATATGAGATTTACTCAAGAGCCTGGTGCAAGGTTTCTGCTTTACCAGTACATTGCCCTCGATTTCTAATATTAAAGAAAGGAAAAAACAAAAGAATGCATGAATTCATAAATGCAGGAACGAATGAACAAACAATGGAATGAATAAATGAACTAACGAACGAAGAAAGGGTGGCATCGATCTGTGAACTAGTTGTGCCCTGGCTTTGATTATCCCAGAGGTTGTTTCAGGGTTCAATCTATGCGTTAGCCATGCCCTGACTTAGATCAGACCAGAGGTTGTTTCAGGGTTCAATCTGTGAGTTAGCCATGCCCTGAATTAGATCAGCCCAGAGGTTGTTTCAGGGTTCAATCTGTGAGTCAGCCATGCCCTGACTTAGATCAGCCCAGAGGCTGTTTCAGGGTTCAGTCTGTGAATTAGTTGTACCCTGACTTTGATCAGCCCAGAAAAAAATATGAATAATATGAATGAGAAGAGGGAATATGTGTATGGATGCATGCATATATAAATAAGAAGAATACTGTTATTTATTGCACAGCACCAGTTGTACAGTCTCTTCTCAAAGGATCAAGAAAATCAATCACAAACCCTAAAGTGGATCTCTTCAACAAAATTGCAGAAGATGTTTTGTGAGTAATATGTATCTACCAAAACAGCATATTATTCTAATATTTATAAGCCTTCAAAGGTATTCCTGGCCAGTAATTAATTAAGTAGCATTGGAATTTGGAATATGATTTTTGTTGGTATCTTATAATTACCTTTACTATGACTATTTATGAATGGAGTACTTCAAGTTTTTCTTTCCATTGCTCTTTACAGTGCAACTACTATAACCAGGGCCACTTAGACGGCRAGAACCAATCAAATCGTAGAATAAAAACATTCCAACTTTGGGTAGTGGARCCAATCAGAAAGCAGCAGAAAACAATAGCCTTCTAACATATCTTTTTATTCCCACAAGAAAATGACAATGGCTATCTAGTTGTTTACACGTAACATCAGGGTTAAGTTACAATTCTCATGCAGTCTAGGTTTCTGATTGGCTCCACTACTCAAAATCGGAATGCATTGTTTTCATTCTGCGTTTTAATTGGTTCTCTTGTCCAACTGATCCAAGTGGCCCYGGTTACAGTAGTTGCACTTTAAACCTTTTAATTAATAACCCAAATTTTAACTGAGTCAGGCATCATAAAGAAGTTAGCAGTTGTGGGTAAAATCACAGGCTCACCTGCTTGGTATAAAAAATGTGCAGATGAAAGTGGACCGATYWTTGTGGTGAYTTTGGTSAAATGTTTTCCCATTTCASWCCACTTGTCATTCCTTTGAGAATAGGATTTTCTTTGTTTGAACTCTATCATTCCATATTTATGTGTCTTCTCTTCTTCTGTGTTTTCCTCAGTGATAATTCCTCTGTGCGAATACTTCATGCTGCAGCTCAGGTGGCCAAAGATCGTCCTGAAGACAGTTCAGATGGTGTTCATTATGGAGGTGTGATTTCATCTGTGGTGAGTTCTATTGTACTAAATGATTTMTGTTTTCTTGGTCCTAGATAATCTGTGGTGGATTGAGAATGATTTCAAGAGGGGTGTCTGTTAACTAGAAAGTCATCACATAGAATCCTTTTAGGTCTTAGTTTATCCTTTAATCTTATTATTATTTGACTACAATTMGGCCCCTGGATTGGCACTTGCTAATATACATAATCACAGTCAAATTTCAGACCAGACATCTTGACATGGGGAGACTAGCATCAAGTTTCCTCAAGAAGGRAAGCTGTGGAGTGACTTTTAGAGCCACTCCACAACAAGCATCAGCATATCAAARCCAAACTAGTGTTCACACTACATTACTGACACACTAACTAGGACCATGTTTACRAAGTTAATCAATCATGGTATAAAAGGGGAAATTTAATTTTTTGTCAGTCTGATATGTTTTGTACACC